GCAGTCAAGTGCCTTAGGCACTACGCTACCAGAGCTCCTTCAATGGTTCATACACACTTTAATTAATGACATTTTTGGTTGCAGTCTCCACAGTGTGACAGCTCTCTTCCCATTTCCTCCCCTTCCTTCTCCTTTCCCACCCCTTCCTGCCTTCTGAGCTCTATCTCTGGGCAAATGCTGCCCTTTGGATCTCGTGTGGTTGATTGTTCTAAGGAGCATGTACCTCCCTCACGTCAATGTTCACCTCCTAGGCCTGTCTATTGTTTGAAAGATGAAGGGTATCTAAGGGCTATAGTCTTGGGGTTTCCACTGGTTTCTATCAGACCACTAAGCCTGGTCATTTTTATGATCTTTGAGTTTTGTTTCACTTTTTTCTTCCTCTCTATCTGGGACCTTCTCCTGTGATCCCTTTCAGAGTGGTGGCGGCAGTGGTCGCCGGGCACCATCTAGTTCTTCTGGTCTCAAGGTCATCGAGGCCGGGGATCCTGTGGTCTCGCCCATGGCTCTCTGACTTCCTTCACTCTTCTTCGCTCGGGATGGGGATAGGCCAATTGTTGCACCTTAGATCACCAGTCTGCTTATGAGGCACCTGGGTAGACTTGAACCCCTAATCTCTTGGTTAGCAGCTGAGTGAATTAACTGTTGGCAGCACTCAGGGACTCCTTGCAAACCCTAATGTGTTGTTGGATGCTGTGGAGTCATTTCCAACTCCTGGTGATGCCACGTGACAGAGTGGAACTGCCCTGTCGGCTTTCCTAGGCTGGACTCTTGACTGGGGCACATTACCAGGCCTTTGTGCTGTGGGGCCGTTTGGTAAGCAGCCAAGCATTTAACCATTGTGCCACCAGCCTTCCTTTTCAAAACCCTATGAAGATTTACTCCTCGGAAGGAAGGTTGGGCAATCCTACTTCTGTAGTGATACTGCCTTGGAAACCCAAAGAGGGGTCGCTATGAGTCGGGGCCGACTCGACGGCAAACAACAACAACAACAACAACAACATCATGAAGATTTAACAGCACAATGTCCCCAAGTGCTGGACCACCTGCACAGACCTGCTTGACCTCTCTGGGCCTCAGCGCAACTTGGCTGGTAGGCTGGTGGCGGGGAGCAGTCTCTGCTACCCAAGACCCAGTGGAAGCTGGATCCACAGAGCTCGCACGTGGGGGAAATCAAGGCACAGAGAGGGGCTGAGCCCTGACTGGGTGGGGGAGCCCTTTCAAGTAGCTTCCTCCTCCTCAGACCAGGGACTTCCTCTGTGTTCCAAGCCCTGGCCTCCTTCCTCTGACGGGGAGATGTTCAGAGTCCCCTGAGTGTGTGTGTGTGTGCCCCAAGAAGGGAGCCCGGCAGAGTGCCCAGCACACAGACCAATCAAAATCCCAGAGAGGAAGGCTGGTCATTTCCTCCCCAGTTCTGTGCACCCTCCCTTGGGGCTTAAAAACCGCAGCCCCAAAGACAGGAGGGCCTTTGATCAGATCAGCTGAGAGCCCAGGAGACCAGAATACGGTAAGTTGAGAAAGGGCTTGGACACGGGGACCCTGTCTTTCCTCTCCCTTCTCATCACTTTTATTTCTCCCCAGCATTTTCATTCTCTCTCTATCCCTCCCTTTTTTCTCTCTCTCTCCTCCTCCTGTTAGCTCTTCCTCATCTTAGGCACTCAGAATCCAGGGCTGAGATGAAGCTAAGGACTAAGACTGTCAAGGGACTATGGGAGTGACAGCCACCCCACAGGGCTGGAGATCCAAAACTGTTTCCCAGGGGATCAAACCCTTGAGCTGGGTCTAGTAGAAATGGCCAGGAATTCTACAAGTGGAGAATTCCAGAGAGGACTTGCAGACAGCTGGAATGGCAGGGCCAAAGGTCGGGAGGCCGCCGAGCACTGGTCTGGAGGTACGGGGAAGTTATTGTTAGGTGTCATTGAGTCAGCTCCCACTCATGGTGGCCCCATGTGCAGAATGAAACACTGCCCGGTCCTGCGCCAGCCTCACAATCCCTGCTGTACCTGAGCCCATCGTTGCAGCCACTGTGTCAATCCATCTCGTTGAGGGCCTTCCTCCTTTTCGTTGTCCTTCCACTTTACCAAGCATGACATCCTCCAGGGAATGGTCCCTTCTGACAACATGACCAAAGTAGGCGAGAGGAAGTCTGGCCATTCTCACTTCCAAGGAGCATTCCAGCTGTACTTTGTCCAGGACAGATTTCTTCGTCCTTCTGGCGGTCCGTGGGGAAGTTACTGCGATAGAATTTCTGATCTTCTGAATTGTGGGGATGGGAAAACCGAAGCCCAGACCAGGGCAGAACTAGGATGTTCCTTGGATTCTGTGTCTCAGCATGAGACCATCTCCAGGAAAAGTGAGGGTCCCCTCCCCCCATCACACACCTGTGTCCTAAGGTCTGGGAACCAAGCCAGGCAGGGCTGTGGCTTAGGACTTGATGTAATGGAGGCTCCTGTCTTGCTTCATCTCACTGAAAGAGGAAACGGAAAACCAATTGGATGGACATGGGAGGGGTTGACGTTGCTTCATTCCCTCATTCCACCTTTGACATCCAACTTGGGCAAACAGAACTTTCAGAAAAGGGCCAACTTACTAGTTGCTTCTTCTTCTTTTTCATTTTTTCCATAAAATATTCCAAAGTGTCACAGAGGATTCAGTGAAAAGTCTTTTTCTCTGAACACCCTGCAGCCTCAGACCCCTTGTCATTTCTCCCAGAGGTAAACATAGGTATACCAGCTGGTAGTGGATCCTATCAATGAAGATGTAGGTTGCTGCTAAACACTTTTGTCTTTAAAACCAAAACTACAATGAATATGCTTCTACTTACGTCTTTGGACCCACCTTTAGGTTTCCAGAATTGCAAATGTTGATTCCAAGGCATGTGCACTTCTTATTTTAACAGAGACTGCCAACACTGTACCAATTTATATTTCCTACCCGAGAGTCCCCGTTTTCCTACACCCACTGAGTTTTATCATACTTGTTTTTTTTCCAACTTGAGAAGCAGTCAGTCCATTCCTTACATCTTCGAAGGAACTGAAGGCTTGTCTTTTTCACTTGGTTTTTCAAATGTGAGCGTTTATGATTTTTGACGTTCCTGGTTCAGTCCTGTTGAGTTGATTCTGATACACGGCAACCCCGGGTGCATCAGAGAACTGTGCTCCCTGAGGCTTCAAGGGCTGGCTTTTCAGCAGTAGGGCCACCAGGCCTTTCTTCTGAGGTGCCTCTGGGTGAATTTGAACTTTTCAACTAGCAGCTGGTTTGGACCCACCAAGGAACTCTTTTTCAATGCTTAGAGATTGTGAATGACAAAGGTTGGGTGAATTCAAGAAGATAAATCTGAGTCAAAGTGCCCGCCTCCACCCCTGTATGTCAGTTTTCAGAGGTTAACAACCTATAATGGTTCTGTGGGTGGATTGTTTAAAGACATTCTGTCCAAGTGGGTTCAGAAAGGCGGATGTTTAAGAAAAAAAGCCGACTGTGCCTTCTGTGTATTTATTGGCTCTGAAAACATTCCCACGTGGGTCTGTTATTTCCACTTTAATGAGGAAGCAGATGGGACATCCCCATTGGAAAAGATGGAGGAACTAGAGCCCAGCCAGGGAGGGGGCTGCCGTAGGGTTTACCAGCTGTTCCTCCCACGCAGCAGCTTGTGACTGCAGACAAGTTCCCTCTCTCCCCCGTACCCTCAAGTCCTTTTTCTCCTCTCCTTCCCTTTGCCCACCACTCTCATCCAGATCTCTCTCCGTCATCACTGACCTAGATCTCCACACCAGGTCTCTGGTCATCTGATCATCATCTGTTCTCTGGTCATCCTGTCTCTGAGTTCACCTTCACAGTGACCACAGGGGATCCTTCTAAACAGAAAATCGAACCTAGCCCCTCTCCAGCTCAAAGACTATCTATGGCTCCCTATCACCCCAGGGTAAAATACAATTCTTTAACATGGAATCTGCAGGCCTTTTTGACCTCATCTTGGCTACACTGGCCTTCTTCCTTCTTCTGGTGTATAGCCTCCTTTCTCTTACCTTGGCACCTTCTGCTTAGAATATAACCCCTTCCCTCCAGCCATACTTTTGGCCTGGTAGCTGTCCAAAGACAGGCCTTGGAGTCTAACTCCTGGGATGGGTCTCCTATCTCTGCTACTTGCTTAACTGTGAGGTCTTGGAAATGTCTCTTAATTTCTCTGTAGCTTCATTTTTCTCATCTGTAAAATGGGTGTTGCCACAGTGCCTACGTCATAAGGTCGTTACATGGATTAAACCAGGTAAGACATGAAAAAGGCTTAGCAATTATCACCACCATGATCGTAAATCGCTTGTCCTCTCCTTCACTCTGTTCTCATTGAATCCAGACCCTTCTCCTCACTGTACCACCTTAGTCCAAGCGATCTGTGCCTCATTTCACCTGGACAATTCCAATCTCTTCTTCCTGGTCTCTCTGGAAGCCATGTAACAGACAAGAACTTTTTTTCCCCCCCAATACAAAAATATATTCATCATCCAAAACCAAACCAAACTCACTGCCATCAAGTCGATTCTGACTCAGGGACCCCCATCGGGTTTTCAAGGTGGTAAATCTTTATGGAAGTAGATTGCCCAGTCTTCCTTCTGTGGAGTGGATGGTGGGCAGTCAAATGCTCTAGGCACTGCACCACCAGATCCCCTTATATTCGTCACAGAAACAATAATAGTACCCAGCCCTCAGGGTTGTTGTGACATAGGTACCGTTATAAGGTAATTAGAGAACCAAGGTACTTGGTTGACACAAATGACTTGCACCCAACTACCCACCTAAAAAGATGTCCTGTTGGCACAGGGCGTAAGCATTTAGCTGCTGACAAAGAGGTTGGTGATTCAAACCTACTAGTGGCTCAAGGACAAAAGATCCGCTCCCATAAAGATTTCAGTCTAGGAGACCCTCTGGGGGCAGTTCTACTGTCACATAGGGTGCTATAAGTTGGAACCGGCTTGACAGGCAATGGTTTTACTAATCTAAAGGCTGAGGGTTCAAACCCACCCAGGTCTACTGTGTAACACATGGAGTTGCCACGAGTTGGAATCGACTGACGGCAATGGGTTCTGTCTGGTAGAAGTTCATCTCTGGGAGGGCAGGGCCAGGGATACCACGAACCAATCCTGAGCCAGTTCACATCTCTTCAATGACGGTCAGACTCCGTCTCACCTGCTCTGGTCATGTTGTCAGAAGGGACTGATCCCCGGAGAAGGACATCGTGCTTGGTAAAGTGGAGGGTCAGTGGGAAAGGGGAAGACCCCCAGTGAGATGGGTTGACACAGTGGCTGCCATGATGGATCCAAGTAGAGCAAGGACCGTGAGGCTGGCATAGGACTGGGCGTCATCTGGTTGCTATGAGTTGGCACTGACCCGAGCACACCTAACAACAGCCATGAAGAAACGTACTTAGATGCTTAACCAGCAAAACTAGTCGTCGTCCCGTTGATTCTGACTCCTGACAACCCCACGTGAGTCAGAGGTGAGCTGAGCTCCTTGGGGGGGTTTCAGTGACTGATTCTCCAGATACAGATCGCCAGGCCTTTCTTCCAAGATGCCTCCGCATGGGCTCGAACCTCCAGCCTTTCTGTTAACCCTCCAATATTTGCTCCAGAAACCTCAGGCTCCTAGAATTGTAGAAATCCGAGTTCTTTCAATCATACTCGTTTTTTGAATGGGCAACACATCTACGTGGTTGTGGATTCAAGAGGACCAGCGGCATGTCTAAGAAAGCTTCCTACCAACGCTTACTCCCAGCTCCCCTGTGCTCTCCAAGAGCAACCACCCTTACAAGTTTGCTGTGTCTCCTTCCGGAGCCAGTCTGTACATATCTAAGTAAACACACACACACACAGACGTGCATAGAGGGTGTGCGTTCTCTCCGTTTGTAACTAGCTGGCGTTAAGACACCGTGCTGACTCTTGCTTTTGCCACTTTGCAGTAGATCTTGGAGCTCTTGCTACATCAGCCGGTAAAGAACTTCTTCATTTTTGTTAATGTTGTTGTTAGCTCCGGGGGAGTCAGCTGGAGTCGCGGTGCAACAGAACGAAATGGGGCTCGCTCCTGAGTTGTGCTCGGGGTCAGAGACGGGTCGGACTGCTGTACTCCATCAAGGTTTCACGGGGTGGTATTCGGAAACAGACGGCCAGGTCTTTCTTCCTGGTCTGTCTCCATCTGGAAGACTCCACCAAACATTTAGCATCACAGCAATACGCAAGCGTCCACTGACTGACGGGTGCTGGCTGTGCACGAGGTGTGCTCCCCGGGAACTGAACCCCAGTCTCTTGCGTGGAGGGTGAGAAGCGTACCACTGAGCCACTGGGCAGCAACACAGCAGTTGGCTGCGTTGGATGGCCCATCACTCACTCAGCCTGTTCCCTCTGGCTGGGCACCTCGGTTGTGCCTGGTTTTTGTTGCGATGCTTCGTGACTCACGTCCATCCCAGAGCTCCTGCCAACTCCAGAGCGCCAGAATCAGCATCTTTTTGTCTGTGCCTCTGAAGTCAGGGAGAGAAAAGGGCCAGTGAGCTCATGCCAGGAGAGGAGCGCCGTCAGCTGATGAGAGGCCCCGGTGCGGAAGCTCTTCTCCTTGCTCTGAGTCACCAAGCAGTCGGGGCCCGCTGGGAGTTTGCACAGCAGCCGAGGCAAAAGCCAGCTTCGTGCAGTTCATCCAAGGGGGCAGCCGGCAAAAACAGTCAACAACTGCCAAGGCTGATGGGCAAAAGGCCTGGTGGCACAGTGGTTAAGTGCTTGGCTGGGAACTGGAAGCCCAGCAGTTCAAACCTACCAGCCACCCCAAAGGAGAAGATGAGGCAGTCTGCTACTTTAGAGATTCATAGCTCTGGAAACCCTGTGGGGCAGGTCTACTCTGTCTTGTGGGGTCTAGGTGCTGGAATGGACTTCATGGCAGTGGGCCTTTCTGTCCTTTTCTTCCTCCTTCTCTCCTCCCCTCCCTTCTTTCTTTCTTAGGTTGGTGGTTTGAACCCACTGAGTAGCTCCATGGAGAAAGACCCTGTGACCTGATCCCGCAAAGATTAAACGAAAATCAAACCCACTGCTAGCGAGTCAATTCTGATGCCTAATGACCCTCTACGACAGAGTAGAACTCCCCCATAGGTCTTTACAAGGCTGTCAATCTTTATGGAAATCTTTATGTGGGTTCCAACTGCTGTTTGGTTAGCAGCCAAAGACTTTAACCACTACACCCCCAGAGCTCTATCCCTAAAGATTACAGCCTAGGAAACCCCATGAGGCAGCTCTTCTCTGTGTCACAGGGTCACTATGAGTTGGAACTGACTCAGTGGTAGACAAGGCGGCACAGAACCCCCCTAAGCAGGATGTGGGGTCTTCTCTTCCTGTGCCCAGCATTAAGCCTTTAGTGGCCAGAGCATGGGGTGATGTGGGCACTCAGGATGCTGGGTGGGAGGTCTTGGGGGCGGGTGGCTCAGAGCAGAGGTTATTTACCATGGGAATATTTCAGAAGTCTCCACTTCCTATTTTGAAAAACTTCAAACTTACACAGAAAAACTGCAACCTTAGTAGAAAGAACTGCCATATGTACTTTATCCAAACCCCAAAGCAAACCCGTTGCCGTGAAGTCAATTCCGACACAGGATGACCCCGTGGCATCCCATGGCACTTCCACGCTGTGTCCTTTCAAAAGCAGGTTCCCAGGACTTTCTTCCTGGGCGCCTCTGGGTGAGTTTGAACTGCCAAGTTTTCCATTAGCAGCCAAGTGCTTAACCCTCTGCATCACCCAGGGACTCCTGACCCCTAGTAGATGCTCAGTCAATATTGCGTCTGCTTTAGTGCAGTCGGTCCATGTCCTGTGTGTGGACTTTGCTGCCACGTCTGGTGCCTCTGGGACAGAGACCAGCTTTCAAAGCTCGCTCTGGCCTAGTTGCCTCCCTGGTAGCAAGTGAAGCCCAAAGCTGACCATCTAGTCAATGGGTGGAAGGCAGGAAAAGGGGGCTATGGGGTGGTCGGGGCGTGGGGAGGCGATGTCTTAGTATCATCTCATTGTTGGTGATACCCAATGTATCTAACAGCCGTACGTCATGGGCACTGACCAATCACAATGGACACTGGCCATAGCATTGTGGTTCACCAGTCGCCAGGACTCAGTTCTGACTCCTGGTGACCCACGTGTCTCAGAGTAGCACCGTGCTCCACACCCAATGGCTGCTTTTTCAGGAGATGATTCCCAGGAAGTACTTCTGAGGTGGCTCTGGGTGGACTCCAACCTCCAACCTTCTGGTTAGCAGCCGAACACCTTAATCGTTTGCACACTCCAGGGACTCCCAGCACTGCATCAACCATGTGGTTGCTGGATCATGAGGGCTTCAGAGGAGGGGTCAGGGTGGCAGAGGTCCTTCTGGGAAATGAAGGCACTTGGCTGTTAACCAAAAGGTCAGTGGTTGGAACTCACCAGCTGACCCTCAGGATAAAGATAACGCAGTCTGCTTCTGTAAAGATTACAGCCTTGGAAACCCTGTGGTGCAGTTCCACTCTGTCCTCTAGAGGCGCTGTGAGTCAGAAAAGACTCCACAGCAGTGGGTGTGGTTTGGGCTTTGCTTCTTTAAAGATTGACAGCCTCGGAAACCCCGTGGTGCAGTTCCACTCTGTCCTCTAGGGGCGCTGTGAGTTGGAGTCCACTCAATAAAACCAAAAACCAAACTCACGGCTGTCGAGTCAGATCCGACTCATAGTGCCCTCTCCTTGGGTTTCTGAGGTAGTACCACTATGGATGTAGATTGCCCAATCTTCCTTTGGAGGAGTGGCTGGTGGGTTTAAACTGCCAACCTTCTGGTTAGCAGTCAAATACCTTACGCACTACACCACCAGAGCTCCATGGCAGTGGGTTAATCAGTGTGTAAGTATTTTAATAACTGGTATGGTTCCTGGGAAGCTTCTCTGGTGCTGCAGTGGTTACACGCTTGACTGCTAACCTAAAGGTTGGCTGTTTGCCTCCATCAGCCAGTCCATGGGAGAAAAATGTGGCAGCCTGCTTCCATAAAGATTGGCAGCCTTGGAAACCCTAGGGGGCATTTCTACTGTCTTACAGGGTCACTATGAATCAGAATGGACTCCACGACAACAGGGATGGTTCCTGGGTGGTGCAAGCAGTTTGCACTTGGGAGCTCTGGTGGCCTAGTGCCTAAGGCATTTAACTCCTAACCAGAAGGCTGGCAGTTCAAACCCACCAGCCACTCCTAGGGAAGGAAGACTGGGCAATCTACTTCCGTTAAGGATACCGCCTTGGAAACCCAAGGAGGGGTCAGCCAAGAGTCGGAATGGACTCAACGGCAGGGATTTTAACTAACCGAAAGGTTGGAGGTTCAAACCCAGCCAGTGGTGTTGTGAAAGAAAGGCCTGCCAATCTGCTTCCAAAAAGACTGTTGTCATGTGCCGATGGTTCTGTGATGATCACAGGCCAGACAACCCGTAGACCAGTTCTCCTCTGACCTGCATAGGATCACCATGAGGCAGAACCAACTCTACAGCAATGGGTTCAGGTTTTTTTCCTTTCTTTCCCTGTATGACCTCTGCAGCTGGCACTTGGCCCTCAGAATCCTCATTTCCTGGGAGACACCCAGGGCTTGCAGAGGTGGGGTGATGGGTCCAAAGCCATGTGTCCCAGACTCATGTCATTCCTACCTCTCTGATTCTACCCAGGACCTCATGGAAACTGGTACCTCTAGCTACTACTATGCCGATGATGCTACCCTGGACCCCCAACAACCCGTGGATGGGCCTGCCAACACCCCCAAACTCCAGACTCTGGACACCATCGCTCTTGTCATCTTCATTCTCGTCTTCCTGGTGGGAGTGCCCGGGAATGCCTTGGTGGTCTGGGTGACGGGGTCCGAGGCCAAGCGGACGGTCAATGCCATATGGTTCCTCAACCTGGCAGTGGCTGATCTCCTGTCCTGCCTGGCACTGCCCATCCTGGTCACCTCCATCATCCTGAACAACAACTGGCCCTTTGGGGAGGCCGCCTGCCGCATCTTGCCCTCCCTCATTCTGCTGAACATGTACGCCAGCATCTTGCTCCTGGCCACTATCAGCGCCGACCGCTTTCTGCTGGTCTTCAACCCCATCTGGTGCCAGAACTTCCGCGTGGCTGGCCTGGCGTGGCTGGCCTGCGGAGTGGCCTGGGGGCTATCCCTCCTGCTCACCATCCCCTCTTTCTTGTACCGGACCGTGCAGGTCCAGCACTTTCCACACAAGGTCCTGTGTGGTCTTCACTATGGAGCAGACAAACAGAAGGAGGTGACAGTGGCCAGCGTACGGCTGATAGTGGGCTTCCTGTGGCCGCTGGTCACCCTCTCCATCTGCTATACTTTTCTCCTGGTGCGCACATGGAGCCGTAAGGCCACGCGCTCCACAAAGACGCTCAAGGTGGTGGTGGCAGTGGTCAGCAGCTTCTTCATCTTCTGGCTGCCCTATCAGGTCACTGGTATGATACTGGCCTTGAACGACAGGCAGTCCGAAATCTTCAACGCCGTGATGAAGGCGGATGCTCTGTGCGTCTCCTTGGCCTACGTCAACTGCTGTATCAACCCCATCATCTACGTGGCCGCAGGGAAGGGCTTCCACACCCTGTTCAAGAAATCCTTCCGCTCCATTCTCCGGAACGTGTTGGCTGAGGAGTCCGTGGGCAGGGAGAGTAAATCCTACACACGTAGCTCCGCGATGAACACCATGAGCACAGAGAAGAGCGAGGCGGTGTAAGGGGAGGCTACGCAGGTCACCACCCACCTGGTGCACCTTTTCCCTTTCTGGCTCCTCCCTCTCCGCTCATCGTAACCCCGCCCTTTCCGCTCATCGTAACCCCGCCCTTTCCGCTCATCGTAACTCCGCCCATTCCGCTCATCGTAACTCCTCCCCTTCTGCTCATCGTAACTCCGCCCTTTCTGCTCATCGTAACCCCTCCCCTTACGCTCATTGTAACTCCGCCCCTAGGGCGATAATCTTGTTTTCGTTCCTGGTGTGTGGTTCTTTCTGCCTTCCTCGGATTCGTCTTTCCTGTTCCAGCTCTCTTCCGATTCTTCCTCACTTTCAAGATTAACCCGTTCTCCTATGGACACCCAAGGAGCCCTCGAAGTGCAACAGTTAAGCGCTCATCTGCTAACCAAAAGATTGGCAGGGCTAACCCACCCAGACATTCCATGGGAGAAAGACCAGGGGCGCTGCTCCGCGAAGACTCCAGAATCCCTCGGCAGCGGTTCACTGCATCGCGTGGGGGCTAGATAAGGAGAAATGGATCCATGGCACTTCACAACTGTGGACATCCAATTTTTCTTTCCACCCAAGGCTTTCGAAGGCCTGTGGAGTACCTTCCTCCATGCATATGAAACCTCTTTAGAATAACAGTCCAAAAATATGGTACATACTATTTCAGGCAATATACTGAAGAGCTTTAAATAGTTTGTTATTGTTGTGATAAATATATATGTAACAAAATATTTGCCATTTAAACATTTATTATTATTATTGTGGCAAAAATAGACCAAGACATTTACCAATACAACACCTTAAACGTTTTTTTACAGGTACAACTCAGTGACGTGAAATCCGTTCATCCTGTTGTACAACCATCACCACTATTCGTTTCTAGATTTTCCCATCGTCTTTCACAGAAACTCGGTGCTCCTTAAACAAATATATA